TCACATATTATACCAAGGAGGATATATTATTATACTAAGATGAGCCCTCATTATGCCCGTGTGGATATACATTATGCCAAGGGAGACATATATTATACCAATATAGCCATATATTGTACATCGATCAAAAAACGAATCTGAAATTGACCACACTGCATCGTTAGAGCTGACATTCACGGTATATCATCCATTGCACTAGGTGTACGAGTAACAAAAATTCAAAATCATTTCCACAGCTGTTAATGACAAATAAGTTCCAGATTACTATCCCTTAATACCAAACGTTTATATTCATAACTCGACAGCACTGGTAAAAACACAGACATTACCAAGGGCAAGACAGAGGGTATATCCGTGTTGAAAACACCCTCGTAGAATTTCCGTATCAAATATCGGCATTCTTAAACTCACATGCAATGTTCGCATATCATGCTGTAAAACAAACATCATAATAAAACCCTTGTCAACATGCTGGAGTACGACTACCTACCCGAGCAAGTGACAGTCAATATATCTCCATTCCAAATGAAGCCAACTATTTGACAACTATGACATGAACATATTGCTATGGACGACTTTCTGTGTGATCAAGGCTAAGACAACGCCTCTCATTGTGGGGTTTCCACAGCTTACGGCGACTTCTTCAACTCCAATGAAAGCGAAATCCTAAGATGGCCGTAGTATTTGAATCGATCCCCACTTCAACTAATCCCAGCGGTTCATATTTCTGATTTAAAGATAGTTTGATAAAAATCTGAATCACAAAACGTGTATATTTGAATTAAATTTCATACGTGGACAGAAACTAGAATTTAAATTAGTTGAGAGAAAATGTCTTTACATTTTACTTTCAATGGACTAGTCTACAGATACACGCTAAACATACAATCAACGGGTGTTGGCTCATACCAGCGTTTATAGGCTTTTCTGTGATGGGTTGGGCAAGTACCTCGAGCACACTACATATTTTAATATTCAAAAATATGGAAGATTATGAAGTTTTAATCTAAAGGAAAATAAGAAAACCAGAAAAACAATAAAACTATCAAAACTGAAACAAACCTTTCATGTATAACACTGCGCTAGAAGTAAACACTGCTCAAAACGTTCCAAAATGGGTATATTTTTAAAATGAATATCTTAACATAAAATTCGGTTCAATTACTACTTGTGAAATGACATACTGGAATCTAAGTATACAACATATCCCTGTACGTCACGAGGAGAGATGTCTAGATAGCTCCATGCTGATGGCTAGATAGCTCCATGCTGATGGCTAGATAGCTCCATGCTCATAACAATGGATTCCATCATTCATATTCCTTGAACTTTGTTATATATCCCGCATTTGTAACAGAAAAAGAAACTTTTCCTGCAGAGATGTTTCACATTAGGCTTGTTGACATCGTTGTTGAAAGGCTTCATTTCTCAACCGTGAAAATGATATAAATCATTACATTTCAGCCACGTCTCTGCACTGTTTGAAACACCTTCAGAAAGTGCCTCTCTGCATAGTTACTAGATTCCCCGTGGGACAGTCAACGCACTCTACCTGTGATAATCAGGGAATAGAACTCTAGCCAATATTAATTCATATACAAAATTTCTAGCTTCGGGTAAAATGGTTTGAATGATAGCTATTTCCTTAAATGTTCTGACATTAGTATGAACATTGTTTATAGTGGACTATAACTTGATCATATCGCTGAACTCTGAACAGCAAAGTGTAGAATTTTAGGCTAGCTGGGGTGTTTATTTTTTGCATTCTAATGAGTGATTATGTGAAATGGGGGTATTTATTTATTGCATTCTAATGAGTGATTATGTGAAATTGGGGTATTTATTTATTGCATTCTAATGAGTGATTATGTGAAATTGGGGTATTTATTTATTGCATTCTAATGAGTGATTATGTGAAATTATAATTATGCTTATATGACAAATGAGATGCATGTATATATCTTTTCGAATGAACGTTTCAATTAATACATAATTGTGCGAACATACAGGTGTATCAAGTTTAGTTAATTGTTACAGTATTTATGGCTTGGTGTTTTTGGTGTTCGATTGATGCGATATTCTGGGTACTTTCGGAATCACGTTTACAGGGTATAAACATATTTCGTGTTTAATAAGATGTGAACACTGACGTCGTACCTGAAGCATATCTCTGAGAAGTGTTATATGTACTTTGTGTAGTGTTGATGAAGATACGTACTATATAACACCTGGTGAACGCGGGGTTGTTTTGTACTACGAATCAACGCGTCATATCTACCACGTGGTTGAATAATATATTTTCTAAAATACATTTACACTATTCGCTGCTCGTCATGATTTCTGTGAAATCGATATAAATTCTGAATGGGTCTGCGTTTCGATCTATGAATTAAGGAGTTAAATCACCCAGTCCAATAATCCACTTACTTAACCCTGCAGGTCGCAATCTGGTATTTACAGACAAAATACAGTGTCAAGGTCGTTCGGTAAACTCCAATCTGTCATGAATTATATTCCTCTACTGCGTTCACACACTTTGAAGACTGAAATTCCCCATGTCACCATGCACTTGTGGTACGCCCGTAGTCTTCGATATTGCCTGTTGTTATGGTAGCCGCTCCTAGCACTTACTGGTCAAGTGGCTATATTCTCCACCCGAGCCAGATAATATATGGCCCCACGCTTACTGAATGCACTTAAAACAACCCAGTTTGGCTGCAAACGTTCTCTAGACATTTCTTTTGTAAGGCAAGTTGTTCAAGTTGATCGTCGTAATCATGATGTTGTTTCAGTTTTCGAATCGTATGCAAATAATTTTTCACAATAAAGAAAATACCCACTTAGTACGATAATACTGGGTACAGTATTAGGTATCTTCATACATTCGCTAGCCCGTGTATACAACCCACGTTTAAGCTTCGACTGTAGTAATCGCAGATATACACTTAGGCAACTATCCAAGGAGGGTTAAACATGTTAAACACTATGATAAGCAATAAAATCAGAGACAAAAAACTACACTTGTATTAATCTCCATGAACTATGAATGATTTTTTTTAAAAACACAAATTGTGTAAAATGTTTTCTGAAGAGTGAGCTGCTTCCATTAAGAGCTTGAATATATTCCCCTGTTAAAGCATCCCAGCTTGTCTGGTAGTACACGTATTATGAGACATTATAACACTGGGAGTGTTTCCCTCGTCATATACAATCACACCATTAGTATAAGCGAGTATCTCTATGACGCCGGTCTCTTTGAAACGAATGAAGACTACTTTCCAATAACTCCCCTGTGTGAATAGCGCTAACAACAGTGAAATATCCGCGATAAGTGTAGCATTGATTTTTCCTGCATAAAGCAAGCAATAGAGATTTGTAGGCAGTAAGTCACTGGGTTGTGAGCTGGATATAGCCAAATAGGTAAATGTCCACGCTATAATTGTACACGCATTGAAATATACATTTTACGTCGTTTAATGATAATCAGATATGTGTCTGGAAAGTAATGTCTGTGAATGACTATTTAAGAAATATAATTTAATTCATCACAAACTTATATCAGTATCACTTAACGTTTTCGTATTGCGATCGGATTTCTTCCCTAGAAATTCATATTTCTTAATTCTTCCAATTCCACAGTTCGTTACTTGCAGCGCTTTCCTCCTGGTTGTTCTGGTTGGGGCGTCCGGCAATATTCAATATAGACGTTTACATTTAAAGGAATATTTTGTTCATTGATTCAGCGATGGATGAAATGTCCAAGTACAATTATATCATAATGATTCATATTAGTATTTTGTTCTAAAAATAATAAACAAGTTCTTAAACTGTTGTGTGCGCCGTAAAAGAATTTAACGATGCAACTTACACTAGACAAAACCATCAAACCCGTTGAGGCATACAAAGGAACGCTGCTCTGCCTTTTACGAGTACGCTGGAAGCTTTTTTTTACTATATTCTCAAATGTCCGGTTAACCTAACACTAGAGGCTTGGTGAAAAAGCTTTCAATATACCCTTACCGCTCCTACGTAAATTGAATGGCACGAAAATAGTTAACAATGGAAATATTTTCAAGTATTTTATTTTAAAACAGTTTTAACGGACAGCAACGAGAAGTGTCTCACCCCCTGTCGTTGTCCAAGCCTGCGACATCACGTACAAGCGACACCTAGTTCAGAGAGGTTTATTTCGCATGCTTTTCAGGTAAAGATGTTGATTTCAGGTTTTCACTATTTACTAAACACACTGGGGTTCATTATTTAGTGAAATCTAAAATCATTTTCCTCCGTCTCTCAGCTAAATCTGCCATTGTTTAGCGAAGAAAGACAAATCCTTTTCGATAACAACGTCTCGGTGTGTATTACAAGCAAATCCACTAGCCTCACTTTTTCGTAATGGGGTACATGGAGTGTTGTGTGTCGCCTTACGTCCCCCTAAGCAACGCTTATTCAATATGTATATATGTGATATACCCAACGCGACAGACAAATGCTTTATGACAAAATGGTCCTTTGAAATAGGGAAAAAAGCATGGAAAACATACACATATTCACCATCACAATATACTTAAAGTAAGTCCTAAGGAATTTCAAAGATCGTATTCTCTTTCATTTTTCTGTCAAAGTTCAAAATATCCTGTAAATAGATACCTCAATATTTTATTTGTAAGCTTAGTTTTCATCGACTTCAGAATGAAGTTGGTCAACGCTACCTTGTTAATATTAGCTGATTATAGCTGGTTGAAAATGCATATTTCCCCTTGTCATCCACACAAACTTAAAAAGACAATCCATTTCTGCTATCCCCATAAATAATAGTAAAATAATTTCTGAAATTAAGATTACAATACTGGTAATGTATAAGTGACTTCAACTTTGGTAATAGAGACCTCACCGAACATTCTAGATAACTTGATGTGAACTTACCTATGACTTAAAAATAATATTGTTATTTTTTCTCTTTAAATCAGATTAAAATGACGTATTAAAGAATATCTCACCTCTGACATCATACGATCAGCGCCCGTTCGCTCCTCATCTTTGAACTCAATATTAGAGTTCTCATTTGAAACCAAATCTTTAAATTTCGCGTCTTCTTTAGTAATTGCCCCGTCGCTTAACCCGCTTGCTCCGATGGTATTTTCGGAGACATTAGGTACATGTTGTTTAAATACTAGGGGGGTGAGTTTCCTGGGTCGTCTCCTCCTGCCCGACCCCCTCCCAGGCCCACACTGAAGGGACAGCGGGGTGACGAGTAGCAGAATTATCAGTACCGCTTGTACCAACTTCAAGGAACAATGCATGGTATATAACCTGGCAACCAACCCAATATGTGCGGAAAACGTCCTCCTCACAAGACTGTCCCTGATGAAATTCCGTCAGGATTTGAGAAACATCACACCGAGGAGTATAAAAATATATATATGAAAGCCTTTGGTTCTAGTCTCCCGAGTTGAACTTGTCCTCGCCCGTGTCTTTGCTCAACTCTGTATTGTAATGATTATATCTCACACATTTATAATAACAGTAGTAAAATCCAGATAGCGCTCCAGCACCAGGCACATGGTTAATAAACTCAGTTGTTGTAAATTCAGCCTTTCAAAATTGATTGGCACACCGCGGAGTATATCCTCACAGACTTTTCTCGCTCGTGATTGGTCGATCCTTCCCGTGTTCACCCCCATGGTTCGGCCCTAAAACAAAAATAAAATCCATTTCACATCATAACTCATTCTTGTCGACGGTTTAAGAAAGCCCAATAACTGAAAAAAGACGTTTTACACATGTAGTCATAAAAAACAGGGTCAATAGTAGATTCCCCAAGTCCCAGCGACAGCCCTGTTCAGATGGTAGAATGAGTGACCGAACTTACCAAGCTCCGCTCAAAGTATACCGTCACATCTCCCTAACACCTTTGTATATTTCGCCGCTCCGTCTAAAGGGGCTTCGGGCTACACTATCTTCCCTACTGGACGCTGAGTTTTTCACTGTATTGACTTAAAGGCAGCGTTTCAACCAGCTGGTGGTTATATGGGCTTCCACACTCTCGGTGTCCCGGCTTGCCTCCACGGGGGGCTCTCATACTGGACAGGCGCATTGTTATGTCACTACGTGTTGAGTGTATTTACACATTGTCTATAACACTCGAAAGATAATTGCCCATCTATGAGACTGCATAAACGACTTTCTTACTGACGGTTAGGATTACTCTGAATTGTATTCAGATTATTTAAAACCTGTTAACAAGAATTAACATTTTATCCTTGATTTGAAGCAATCGCGTGACTTAAAATGTTATCTAATAGTTTTTAAGTAAAACTGGTTCATTTTAGTAAACCTAACATTTGCATATATTTAACTCCCATGGATGGATGTGCACTCTGTTTCCTAACTGCTCGGGATTCTTGAATATATTCAAGCTAATTATTAAGACAGTGTGTACAGTTCATAATTTGGGCGTTATTATCTTAAAAGAACCTTCAGAAATTTACATACGTTCATACAAAAGAAACCACAGTCAGTATATAAATTAATTCAGAAGGCAGTGATGTAATTAGTTCGAAAGTCCATTCCCAGTATAGGAATATAGGAAGTACTGACAAAATCTGTGTCGACGAGTTCCTTGAGATGTATGCGTACTTAAAATCTGCAATTACGCAATGATAGGGTGGCGATGTGGCATTGTAAGGAAAGGTATTGAAGCTCTGTATGTGTAGTATATGTGGCGTCCTTGTAGTTAATCACACCAGTACTACAGACAGCAGTATACTCCATACTACAGAGTGTCATGTGTCCCTATTCTGAAACCTTGTTAATCCAGACACTAGTTGAGCCAGGGTTCACTACATATGGATAATGCGGACACATGTTTGCGTATAGAACAATACTGTATTATGTCTGTGTGTTTGCTGTTTAAAAGTCGCACTCGCTAATCGAGAACTTTCCGAATTTCTGTGCACTAAATATCGATATTAAGACACCTGAGTATCAATACCGTGTTATGTTTGTTAGTTTTTTAACGTGTCACTCGGCAATATTCCAGCTATAGGTTGGCGGCCAGTAAATACCGGGGTCTAAACGAGACAATCCAGTGATTGATATTAGGAGCAACAATCACGCCGTCTAGGCACTAGAACACGCTATCAAGCAAGTCGCCGAGCCTGACAACCAGACCTATCTGGCCACCTCTAGCCACCTGGGGACATATACTAACTCACAACATACAAGAGGTTACGGAAAGGTTTCGCTATATAAGTCTCTTGCTGTCTCTGCACACTGATGACAGTACACAAGCCTTCTGCTGATGACGTTAGACAATCTTAGCACCTTATACAAGCCTGTTGCTGATCAAGGTGTACAAAGTCTCTTGCCAATGACGTTATACAAGTATGCTGCTGACAAGCATTTGATGACAATAGACAATCTTAGCACCTTATACAAGCCTGTTGCTGCCTGTTGCTGATGACAAGTATGCTGTACAAATTTGATGACGTTAGTATCTTAGCACCAAAGATCAAGGTTATCCAATGACGTTATACAATGCTGCTGACAAGCATTTGATGACGTTAGACAATATGTCGATGATGACGTTGAACAATCTGATGTTAATGACGTTATACTAGCGCCTCCTCACAAGAGCAGATGATGCATTTCTGAGCTAACTGAGCTGATGACATGTTTCTGAACCAACAGTGATGATGATGCATTTCTGAGCTAGCTGAGCTTATGACATGTTTCTGTACCAACAGTGATGATGATACGATTCTGAGCTAACTGAGCTGATGACATGTTTCTGAACCAACAGTGATGATGATACGTTTCTGAGCTAACTTGGCTCATGATGCGTTTGTCAGCTAACTGAACTGATGATGCGTTTCTAAGCTAACTGAACTGAAGATGCGTTTCTAAGCTAACTGAACTGAAGATGCGTTTCTGAGCTAACTGAGCTGATGATGCGTTTGTCAGCTAACTGAGCTGATGATGCGTTTGTCAGCTAACTGAGCTGATGATGCGTTTGTCAGCTAACTGTGCTGATGACATGTTTCTGAACTAACCCTGCTGATGATGCGTTTCTGAGCTAACTTGGCTCATGATGCGTTTGTCAGCTAACTGTGCTGACGGTGCGTTTCTAAGCTAACTGAACTGATGATGCGTTTCTAAGCTAACTGAACTGAAGATGCGTTTCTAAGCTAACTGAACTGAAGATGAGTTTCTGAGCTAACTGAGCTGATGATGCGTTTGTCAGCTAACTGAGCTGATGATGCGTTTGTCAGCTAACTGAGCTGATGATGCGTTTGTCAGCTAACTGTTCTGATGACATGTTTCTGAACTAACCCTGCTGATAATGCGTTTCTGAGCTAAATGCTAATGATGCGTCTTTGAGCTGTGTTGATGGTGCGTTAGTGAGATGACTGTGCTGATGATGGCATGTTTCTGAACTAACGTGCTAATGATGCTTTTGTGAGCTATCCATGACGTGGGTGCGTTTGGAAGCTATTCGTGTCGTTGACTGGCGTTGCACTAATCGTACGGATGACGATATGGGATCTTCTCATGCGATTCACACTTATGTAGAGTAACCGTGTTTACTATTGAAGCATTTGATAAGAGTAACGACTTGGGCCAAGTATTCAAGAGGTTGATGTTAAGAGAAGTCCGGCTCAGGAGAAAAACGCACGGGCTAGACGAATGGTATCGATTAAACAGGGGAAATTACTCTGCAGTTGATCATGTAGTGACAAATGTCCCGTGGAATAGCCAAGAGGACAAAAACAAAGTCTGGTCTTATCACTGGCTCATATTGCTGTGATACTGCTGGAAGCAGTCCGAAGTCCACTCACTCACTCACTCACTCACTCACTCACTCACTCACTCACTCACTCACTCACTCACTCACTCACTCACTCACTCACTCACTCACTCACTCCACTCACTCACTCACTCACTCACTCACTCACTCACTCACTCACTCACTCACTCACTCACTCACTCACTACTCCATAATCTATAATGACACATTTGATCTCCCAACGTACATCGAAGCCATTATCAGAATGTTCCGTGCTTTACATAATGCTGTAACCAGCAGAAAACTGTACATTTATTCAAGGGCTTTTTCTCAACGCAGTTTCAGAAGAAAGGCGATAATCTTAATGTCGACTCCCACACAAGTCATCTACATTTTATTACTGTCACCACGGGAAAATAAACAATTGATAATTTCAGCCGAAATGTTGTTACAACAATCATTGATTCGATATTTGAGATATACCGAGCCCGGAATCATAGCAAGCCATTTAATGGGGACTATACTCGATACATCAGTCGCCTGAGAAACTGTATCTTCTCACATGCTGCGAACAATAGTCAATAAAGTGGAAATCTCTGGTGTGGCATTATGACGTTCGACTAGACAGATGGCGCGATTATATCAACATTTTACACTTCCTTTAGAGGCCGAAAGATGCTCGTATGTTCAGCAAGGAGAATAGGGCTGAGTGTGCACTTAAAATATAGTGGCGCCATAAATGTAATCGTGTTAACTCCATCTTATTATTGAGTAGATCAAGACGTTTTAATTATCACAATATATTAGTCTGACATTGTGTGAAGAACATGTCATATCAACATACACGTCTGTCTGGAAGCAGCTCATATCAACAGGGGTCTTTGAGGAAAAAGTCAGCTAAACGTGACTATGGTTACATAGAGAAGTCATCGGTATGGTCATACAGAGTGGTACATATCGCGTGACTATGGTTACATAGAAAAAGAAGTCATATAGAGTAGCCAGTATGGTTACAGAGTGGTCATCAGGGTGGCCATATCGATATTGTTACTATGGTTACACAGAAAAGCCATCGGTATGGTTACAGAGTGGTCATATCGCTATGGTTACATAGAGAAGTCATCGGTATGGTTACAGAGTGGTCATATGACTATGGTTACACTAGAGAGAGTAAATATATCGCTATGGTTACAGAGTGGTCACATCGCTACATGGTTATCTCTAGAGAAGCCATCGGTATGGTTACAGAGTGGTCATATCGCTATGGTTACATAGAGAGAAGTCATCGGTATGTATGGTTACAGAGTGGTCATATCGCTATGGCTACACACGGTGGTTATACTATGGTTACATAGAGAAGTCATCGGTATGGTTACAGAGCATCGGTATGGTTCATATGACTATGGTTACATAGAGAAGTCATCGGTATGGTTACAGAGTGGTCATATCGCTATGGTTACATAGAGAAGTCATCGGTATGGTTACAGAGTGGTCATATCGCTATGGTTACATAGAGAAGTCATCGGTATGGTTACAGAGTGGTCATATGACTATGGTTACATAGAGAAGCCATCGGTATGGTTACAGAGTGGTCATATCGCTATGGTTACACAGAAAAGCCATCGGTATGGTTACAGAGTGGTCATATCGCTATGGTTACACAGAAAAGCCATCGGTATGGTTACAGAGTGGTCATATCGCTGTGGTTAGGAAGAGAAGTCAGGGGTGGCCATATCGATATTGTTACGTAGAGTGGTCATATCGCTATGGCAACAGACAATGGTTATATCTCTTTGGTTACAGAGAGTAGCCATATCCGCATGGTTACACAGAGTGGTCATATCGCTATGGCGACCCACACTGGTTATATCTCTATGGTTACAGAGAGTATTCATATCGCTATGGTTACACAAAGTGGTCAAATCACCATGTCTACACACAATGGTTATATCCCTATGGTTACAGGGGTAGCCATATCGATATGGTTACGCAGAGTGGTCATATCGCTATGGAAACACACAGTGGTTATATCTCTATGGTTACAGAGAGTAGTCATATCGCTATGGCTACACAGAGTGGTCATATCGCTATGGCAACATACAGTGGTTATATCTCTATGGTTACAGGGGTAGCCATATCGATATGGTTACGTAGAGTGGTCATATCGCTATTGCAACACACAGTGGTTATATCTCTTTGGTTACTGAGGGTAGCCATAACGCTATGACTACACAGAGTGGTCATATCGCTATGGCTACACATGGTGGTTATATCTGTATGGTTACAGAGAGTAGTCATATCGCTATAGTTACACAGAGCGGTCATATCGCTATGGCTACACACGGTGGTTATATCTCTATGTTACATAGGGTAGCCAAATCGCCATGGTTACATAGAGTATATATACTTCTACGGTAACACGGAGTAGTCATACAGTGATGGTTACATAGACAAGGCATCGGTATGGTTACAGGGTGGTCATATCGCTATGGTTACATAGACAAGGCATCAGTATGGTTACAGGGTGGTCATATCGCTATGGTTACATAGACAAGGCATCAGTATGGTTACAGGGTGGTCATATCGCTATGGTTACGTAGAGAGGCCATCGGACTGGTTACAGAGTGGTCATATCGATATGGTTACATCGACTCGTCGTTGCTTTGGTTATACCAAGTAATCAACTGCACTAGGGGAAAATTATTATTCAATTACTCCCATTACTTCAATCACCAAATTACCGACATGAAACTACTTACGATCGGTTCAAGCCATATATTTACAGGTGATGGAACGTTAAGCATTGCGGTAATTCTAATGAGTTTGAGGTATTTATGCCACAGTTTCATGCACTAGTTTAGGTGTGAAGCTCACCCTGTATGTATCGTCACTACAAGTAACGCACAAAGGCTCCGAGACTGCAGGGAGCAGTGTCGTGTATAACTGCAGGCTTCACATCGGAGACAAACAGTTACATTAGGCAGTAAACACTGGGGTCATTAGCTAGCCGGGCCGATGAGAGCCAACACAAGAGGGTCATATATAGTGTGTCCTTTCTCGTTCCAGATCTGCCTTGCCCAAACACCTCTGAGAGCCCTGTCGCTGACGTGGGTCCGAGTCGGGCAACTCTGCCCTGAGGATGTCGTTGTCGCCGTCCACGAGGCCAGGACTGGATCAGCGGCTTTGATCTGTCACGGCTTTAGATGCCAGTTGATTAGCACAAAACGGCTTCGAGACAAAATCGACATCGCTGTTCAGGAATTCTCACGACAAATCACAGAGAAAATATTGTTGAATCGCAGTTTGGGAATCCAGGCAAAGTCCTAATCCTGGCTTGAATAGAGCGGCTCAGAAGAGCTCGAATCAAACAAAATATTGGTGTTTATATTTTAAGCAGCTGTGTTCAGACATAACCATCTATTGTCGTCCATGGGTATAATCTTATCCCTGATGTAGATAACATTGTTTACATTAATCTCCTCGTATAGCCCCGGGCCATCTTCAAGCATATTAGGCCGATTTTGACCGAGGGAAAATCTACCATCTTGGAATGTAATGGTTTGATGGCTTCGATCATGACTCGAGGCTCAAATAAGATTTCGCTTAATAGATAAAGACACGAGGCAGGGGCAGCATGACAGACTGAGATGCATGACAGACTGAGCGGGGCGCTATACACGGAGGCGAGGTAGAAGGAAGGGGTCAGGATGAATGTACGATTTATACAGGAAGTCAATCAATTCCAGTTTGCTGATATACAGGAAGACCTCGGTTGCTCGAACACCACTATTACCCGTTGTAGCGTCTACACGGCATTAAAGTCCGATATCGATGTATTGAACTTCGATACAGCTGGATGACCCCAAAGTGAATGAGCGAGTGAGGTGGATTTTAGGTTGCTTTTAGCAATATGGCAGCAATATTATTTCGGGGGATATCTGAAATGGGCTTCACACATCCGTCTTACCTGGATATTCGAACGCGGAGGAGAGAACGCATTTTTCTAAAGGGTATCTCACCGCTCCCGACAACCATGAAAACTTTGAGTCGAAAGGGTTTCAATATACAAACATGTTTCTGGAACCTACGTAAATACTTCGAGTTATCTGAGGTTCGGCACAGTCACATGACTTAGAAAGGAAGCAGCAGGGACCAAGCTTTACTTCGATACAGCCGTATGTTCGACACTTCAAAGGTTCACACAACGGCGTTTGAGTGAGTGTGTGAATTTAGTTTTACGCCGCTTTTAGCAATATTCCAGCAATATTACGGAGACACCAGAAATGGGCTTCACACATTTACCCATGTGGGGAATCGAACCCGGGTCTTCGACGTGACTAGCGATCGCTTCAGCCAATAGGCTACCCCACCGCCCCGTTTTACTGTATTGGAGGCAACGAAACAGCCCATTTGATGTGAAGTCATGATCCAGTTGTTGTAACAATTTACATCACGTTGTGCAGGAAACTAAGGTGCTAGTCACGGCAGCCATTAGGTGGGTGGGAGTTGACGCTGAAGCTGGGTACTGGGTTGGGGTGAAGGGGTGGTTTGGGGGTGGGTTTCAAGGAGGTAGAGGGCGTCATAATAGCACTGGCATGCCATGACGGAAACGTTCTTCTACCCACAATCCTCGATTGCAACTCTTGCACAACTTATAGCAATCCCGTCTTGGTTGAAGGGTATTGTGAGGTAGGTTAATGCCGCAATAGTCAGCCATCATGAAAATCGGTCAGACCGTATTCCCTCAAGTAGTGGTTCTACTACAGTCTGTATATATGCACCCATGACCGCAGTCTTCCCAGTGAACACTTCGACCCACAAGGTGATGTAACCGAAATACCTAGCGAGTGAAGCACAGTTGGCAACGCAGTCGATTGTTGGCTGTGTCGTAGATGTGTCTGGAGCACGTTGCCAAAGACATCAAGACGTGGTATTGATGGGTGAGGGACAACTGCAGATCGCTTATTAACGGATATACGGCGTCTGGGTCCTAGGGGTGATGAAGTACGATAAAATGAGCTGGAGTCGTTTTGACATTTTCTGGAATTGACGTACAAACAGAGTCCTCCTAAGGAAACAGTCGTTGTGGGAGCGCCGCGTAAAAGCGCTCATCACTGGAGAGGTGAGGAGAAATCTGGTTTAACCGCGTTCAAGATTAAGACACTTGTATAAGGACGTGCATATGTGTGTGCGTGCACGTATCCGTGAGTGCGTATGTGCGTGTACGTGTGTGCGTGCGTGCGTGTGTGTGTGAGGGAGATGCGTGTGTGAGAGAGAGAGATAGAGATAGACATGACCACTTATCCATTAGTCTGTGTCTTGTGAAAATCAAGACGGACTAATTGTTTTCTCCCTTTAGATAGTGGTTGCGTCTTCAGTGGTCCCAAATGAGCTGCAGATGAGTTGGCTACAACCGGTGGTGCAACCAGTCTGTTGCAATACCGTATATCTAGGAAGGCTTATTTAAGCGCCGTAGTTCATTTTTCACCCCCCGGGGACGAGTGCCAGGGGTGACAACACGTACCATCTTATAACATCTTTTGGTTGGATGTGCCATCCGCACTCCGGACACACCCTCTGTCCACTAGGCCAAGGAGTTCTATCACAGTGACGAGAGTTGGACGGATCCAACGACCCAAATTCTCATAAATGCTGAATACAAATTACTTCCAGCCCAGTCTGTGAAATTTTGAGAAAATGGAATTCGGACATGTAGTGGTAGCAATGGAAGTAATGGTAGTAGCAGCAGTGTGAGAATCAAAATGACACATGTTAGCAACAATATTAGCAACAGCAGTACAGGCGGTAGCAATAGATATATCAGTAATAATAGCAACTACAGCAGCAATATTAGTGACAGCAGCAACGGTAGTAACAGCAACTGTAGCAGCAATATTAGCGACAGTAGCAACGGTAGTAACAGCAACTGTAGCAGCAATATTAGCGACAGTAGCAACGGTAGTAACAGCAACTGTAGCAGCAATATTAGCGACAGCAACGGTAGTAACAGCAACTGTAGCAGCAATATTAGCGACAGTAGCAACGGTAGTAACAGCAACTGTAGCAGCAATATTAGCGACAGCAGCAACGGTAGTAACAGCAACTGTAGCAGCAATATTAGCGACAGCAACAACGGTAGTAACAGCAACTGTAGCAGCAATGTTTGCGACAACAGCAACGGTAGTAACAGCAACTGTAGCAGCAATATTAGCGACAGTAGCAACGGTAGTAACAGCAACTGTAGCAGCAATATTAGCGACAGTAGCAACGGTAGTAACAGCAACTGTAGCAGCAATATTAGCGACAGTAGCAACGGTAGTAACAGCAACTGTAGCAGCAATATTAGCGACAGTAGCAACGGTAGTAACAGCAACTGTAGCAGCAATATTAGCGACAGCAACAACGGTAGTAACAGCAACTGTAGCAGCAATATTAGCGACAGCAACAACGGTAGTAACAGCAACTGTAGCAGCAATATTAGCGACAGCAGCAACGGTAGTAACAGCAACTGTAGCAGCAATATTAGCGACAGCAACAACGGTAGTAACAGCAACTGTAGCAGCAATATTAGCGACAGCAGCAACGGTAGTAACAGCAACTACAGCAGCAATATTAGCGACAGCAGCAACGGTAGTAACAGCAACTGTAGCAGCAATATTAGCGACAGTAGCAACGGTAGTAACAGCAACTGTAGCAGCAATATTAGCGACAGCAGCAACAGTAGTAACAGCAACTGTAGCAGCAATATTAGCGACAGTAGCAACGGTAGTAACAGCAACTGTAGCAGCAATATTAGCGACAGTAGCAACGGTAGTAACAGCAACTGTAGCAGCAATATTAGCGACAGCAGCAACGGTAGTAACAGCAACTGTAGCAGCAATATTAGCGACAGCAACAACGGTAGTAACAGCAACTGTAGCAGCAATGTTTGCGACAACAGCAACAGTAGTAACAGCAACTGTAGCAGCAATATTAGCGACAGCAGCAACGGTAGTAACAGCAACTGTAGCAGCAATATTAACGACAGCAGCAACGGTAGTAACAGGAACTGTAGCAGCAATGTTTGCGACAACAGCAACGGTAGTAACAGCAACTGTAGCAGCAATATTAGCGACAGCAGCAACGGTAGTAACAGGAACTGTAGCAGCAATGTTTGCGACAACAGCAACGGTAGTAACAGCAACTGTAGCAGCAATATTAGCGACAGCAGCAACGGTAGTAACAGCAACTGTAGCAGCAATATTTGCTACAGTGGGAATTATAGCAGCAATGACAGAAGCAGATGGCAAATCAGCAACAGCATCAGAAGTGTCAGATGAAGGCTCGAGGTGATGCATGTCTTAGATACTTTGCTAAAACCAGTGACAAAACTACAGACTTCATCGATCATAGTGTCAATACTTGCCATCCGATTCACATATGCAGCAACCCTTTATACTAAACGATCATTTATACAACCATTGCAAAGATTCAATGCAATTCAATCCGAACTGAAGCATCCCGGGAGCTATGACAATAAGTCTCTCACAGAAGAAGGTTAAACATTTGGAGAGCGAGAGCCTAGCGGACAACCAACCATCTCAGGACACCATAACTGTCATTAACGCTTCCGTTCTTGGTAATACAATGTATCTCTATCTATATTAGAGATAAGACAACCCATGCAATTTATATTTTGATCAAGAGCTAACTACAAGTTACATTGCTCTCGATATGATCGCCATTTATTTTTGCTTCGCGATTTTTTTATCATGATTGACAGAAATCATTTCTTTTCATACATCATAAAGACTCTTAATGTTGATGTGATGCAAATATAGATGTTTTACGATGATGATATGCTCTACGATATGCATGATGTAACTGACGAAATTGATGACGATTGGTTGGGTGGTTGGTTGGTTGATTGGTTGGGTGGGTGGTTGGTTGGTTGATTGGTTGGATGGTTGGTTGGCTGATTGGTTGGGTGGTTGGTTGGTTGATTGGTTGGGTGGTTGGTTGGTTGGTTGATTGGTTGGTTGGTTGATTGGTTGGTTGATTGATTGGTTGGGTGGTTGGTTGGTTGGTTGATTGGTTAGTTGGTTGGTTGGGTGGGTGGGTGGATTAGTGGGTGGTTGTTTAACGTCGCTCTCTGCACTATTCCAGTGATACCTACCGCTCACATATTGTACAGTATACATTGTTTATTCTTGAGGACTGTATCACATGCTTTCATTGTGAAGACATGTAAGTAATGTATTGTAACATATATTGTAACGTTCAGAAAATAATTTGAGTAAATACTGTACTGCAAATAATGTATTTGCCTGTATGGTCTTCGGATTCAGCTCCAGAGGGAATAAAAGACTGGTTTATTTATTCACAATCGGGGCGAAACCAGGTTCGAACCTGTGACTAAAGGTTTCTGTCAAGGGGACGCAACTCTGCATTCATTTTGGACTTTTCCAAGATAGTTACAGTAGATCTGAGTAATATCGCGTCACTGCAATGGCTCTGTCACTCATGCTGAGTATGTTCTGGCCAGCGCATGGTTAAACAGAGACATGATCAAAATTCTTGGAACTGTGCTTCTGACGCATGTTGAACGGCTCACCGTTTGGACACAGCGATCATGGGAACCGCCATGTTGTTGCAGAGGTAGGTGGAGGAGCGAATGTCACCACTGATGCAGTATCTACAAACAGACCCGCTGCACAAAGGCCCAGTTCTCACATTCATTAACAGCACACACTAATTGGCATATTTACAATTACTACTGCCGCCCTACCTTCCCAGCTCCAATATCGATTCCTGGTAATTAAAGTCCCCCATTACATCAAGTGGTTATTCCCCACGTTTGCTGATGCTAACACACACAACATGAAAGTGCTGGTGCCGGAGCAATGTTGCTTCCTTTCAAGCCCATTGCACGCGATTGTTGGGGGGAAATAATTTGATATCTAAAATGTTTTGCATTAAGCTGTATGAAATCATTTTATTTATTTTTTCAAATAATTAATATATTCTGAGTGAATAAATAAATTTCTGTAAAATTATATAAATATTTTCACACACTGTTTCTGTGAAAAGCTGGAAGGCAACAAATCAAAATCAAAACTCTCGACCGAACGAACCTGTATTTTTTGCGATCACGCGAGACGTCAGCAGACGCGAGACTACAACACGGAATGGAGACAACTCACTCATCTCATGCTATCGCACGCAGGCACGTGACTAGTTTGATACAATTACATTGGCTTTGCCCTACAGATCGATGGCTGATATCCGTTATAGATTACCTCTTCAGGCGTGTGATTTATATCAGCGATATCAAAGTCGGGGGAATAATGCAGAAAGCACAACTGACACCGTCTAGACGTTATGTGACTGGAGTTCAGGGTGGAAAACATGGAGAAACTGTTCAAAGACGAACTTTGTTGTCGTAATACGACCACCATGCCTCAATCACGATGCGATAAATCGCCAAACTAGCACTGGCGACCTTGGAAATTCATGACTTGCAGTATTTCAAGAATGGGATGGTTGATATCAGGGAAATAAAATTGTATTAGGAAGACCACATCAAAAGTGATACTTTTTCCACCAGGAGGAAGCCGGAGTTGTCGTCGTCATCGTCATCGTCATCATCATCATCACCATCATCATCAACATGACGTCGATACAGTTTCGCGCCATGAATAAATCCTCCTACCCCTGCCTATATGTCGATAGAACTATACAGCCACCTGTCTGCATGTCAACAGGACTGTACAACCACCCGTCTACATGTCAACAGGACTGTACAACCACCTGTCTACATGTCAACAGGACTGTACAGCCACCTGCCTACATGTCAACAGGACTGTACAGCCACCTGTCTACATGTCAATAGGACTGTCAGTAGGACTGTACAGCCACCTGTCTACATGTCAATAGTACTGTACAACCACCTGTCTACATGTCAATAGGACTGTACAGCCACCTGTCTACATGTCAATAGGACTGTACTGTACAGCCACCTGTCTACATGTCTGTCTACATACATGTCAACAGGACTGTACAGCCACCTGTCTACATGTCAATAGGACTGTACAGCCACCTGTCTACATGTCAATAGTACTGTACAGCCACCTGTCTACATGTCAATAGGACTGTACAGCCACCTGTCTACATGTCAACAGGACTGTACAGCCACCTGTCTACATGTCAATAGGACTGTACAGCCACCTGTCTACATGTCAATAGGACTGTAGATCACCTGTATACATGTCAATAGAACATTACAATCACGCGTCCACATCGGAGTAAACTACCATTCAATGTTAAACACTTAACACTCCCACAAGTGTAAAGTAAGTAGATAAAAGCAACTGAATTCAGAACTATAATGAAACCTGCTGCAAAATGATCAGATTCTTATTACAAAACTCTTCCAAAGGCAAGCCTTTCTTCGTGTAACCGACGTTAATACAAGCACTTGTCACGTCACATATTGTATACTAGTATATGTTGAATCGCAAAAAGTTGATGTTTCTCCTGATCAAGAGATGCGTAGCATTTATTGGCACTCCTGAAAAGGGCTGCTAATGATCCCTACGAGAGCAAAGCAAATCCACGTGGAAACTCCCGCCATGAGATATCTAAATAAACAAGCTATCCCTTCTTGTGTGTACAGAGGGAAATTGACGAGATAAATAGTGTTCTTTATCTACAGTCGTACATGTTTGTTGACTGCAAGTCTAAACATTCTTTATTTTTTCCCATCCAAGCAGTAAGTGCAAGTACATTTCAAGGTAGGGACCAACTGAAGCGTTTTTCGGTTTATTTTTAATTTACGCTGAAGTGCAAGATTTTTATGGACATTGTCTTGGTTGTTGAATTCTTTTAAATCGAGAATACGAGTCAGATGTATTGACCACAACAATGTATACACGTTCATGACAAAGGTCATGGTGTGTTCACAGAGATACGCCACATCATAACCTGGCGCCTAGGCTTTTGTCAGGGTGGATACATTGAAAACTTGAGAGTTGATACTGAAGTTTCCAAGTAAAAAAATAAGACTTTTCTTTTCTTTACACTTGAAATATATCATATTTGGTTACTGAATAATTAGATTAAATTTTCCCAATTTCTGTTTGTCTCTAAAATTATATTCACATATTACGCATGAATGTTGAGAATGCACGACTGCAAAGTGCATGAATGTTGTGAATGCATGATTGTAAAGTGCATAAATGTTGAGAATACATTATTGTAAAGTGTTGAATGTTGAGAATGCACGACTGCAAAGTGCATGAATGTTGTGAATGCATGATTGTAAAGGGCATGAATGCTGCGAATGCATGATTGTAAAATGCAAAAATGTAGAGAATACATTATTGTAAAGTGTTGAATGTTGAGAATGCACGACTGCAAAGTGCATGAATGTTGTGAATACATTATTGTTAAATGCATGAATGGTCGTTTATGACTCAAAGCTTACATCAAATCTCAAAGTAAAGTCGTGTTTCAAAGCAATAAAAACATTTGACATTTAATCTGAGAAAATTGGCTGGAAATTTGCCGACTGGATAAAGTTATTTACTAACTCAATCCCGACGTTTCAAAGTTGGATTAACTGTATAAATGCGGACACGACGGAACGAAACTTCAAAATTTGTCGCGAAGCGTCAGTGTTTAACTTGAGGTGCTGTTCCCGAGAACGAAAAGAAAACCTGGTTTTGATGGATGTTACACGATAGTGAAATTACCAGGCGGGTGTCAAGACACACCTAATGTTTGGAGTCGGACGGGAGTTAGTTAAGGGGCAAAACCACAAAGAAAAGCCAGAATACCATAGAATTGATTTGACACCTGCTAAGTCACCGACAAGACGTAGACAGCGGAGGTCAAGCAAGAAAAATCTCAAATTCCAGTTAACCCAACCCCCAAAATACACACAAGGGAAATAGAAGTAAAAAATGAAGAAAATCGGGTGGTTTGTTTTAGGTTTTGAGGTCGTCTCTCATCGTTTCCCATCTCCTCTGTCAATACACACCCAACCAATTAGCGACACCCTAGTGCTTATTTCGTTTCCGTTAAGCAAACGTTGAGCATTCCTATATTTTGCACCATACTTACTGTTGAACATTTACCCTACAATATCACTTTCATTTCATCAGTTCATCGCAGTCTCCATTTTTCGTTGTAAATCCCTGCAAGACATATTAACTTAGTCTAGAATTACATCAGAAAACCATTTTCATATCCTATTTCAACTAAAACAAAATTGCTTTATTGCAATTGCCTCTGGCAGTATATCGCCATATATTCCGGAGAGATCAATATTGTTAGCTAC